CCCCTTCCCCCTCTCACATTTGTTCTCTCAAATAAATAAATTAATTTTTAAAACAGAAAAAAAAAAGCCAGCCATTCTCCTACTCCTGAGAGTAATGGCCTTATGAGGAATAGGCCATGTAGTTCCCATGGCCTGGCCCTTTAGGGTGTATCTCCAGTATGTGCTGCATGTACTCTGCTCTTGTGTTTTGGCTGCTCTCTCCTTTAGGCCAGTCGTGTGCAGTGGCTCTTTGGCTGCTCTTAGAGGTTTGGTCCCTGGCCTGAATATGGCAAGTTTAAAATAGGTGTGCTCTGGTATGCTTGTGAAATGAGACCTGTCACCACCTCCACCAGAACTGAGGCCCTGTAGAACTCACTGGTTGGTAGATGTGGTGTGGGTAGGGGGTTTCTGCTGGTCTTCTGGGGGAGGGTCCCACCATGGTGGGACTGAGGCAAGCATGTCTGGAAAGGACAGCTTCACCAGCGTGCAGGGGGTAGGGCTTGGTGTATATAAGTTAGGCAAGTAGTGTTGGTGCTGCACTATTTCCTGCCAGTAGCTTTGTACTTACGCCGAAAGGCAGGGGATGAAAATGGTGCTGGCCAGCTCCTTTGTTCCTGGAGTGGTATCTATCTGAATGTTGCCTCTCAGGGATGCACTCTGAGAAGTGCAAATAATCTCCCCACTCTGTGCCTCAGGCCCTCTTCAGATCACTGTTTCCACACTTTCTGCCCCCTGGGTTGTTTACCTGCCTTCTCTCTAGGAGCTGGACAGTATCCTCCAGACTATCCCAGCCAAGCCTGCTGATCTTTAAATCTCCAGGTGTTAAGCCCTACTGGTTGATAGAACTCACAAAATTCAGTCCCTCTCATTCTCCAAGCCATTGGCTTTGGGGAAGCCTTCTTGTCCATTTCCCTGTGTGTTCCTTTCTGTCTCACCCTTCTCTAGACACGGCTCCCTCTCCTCTGCAGCAGCTAGGATCTATTTCTCCCCTAAACCACATCCCCACACTTCCTACCTTCTTTGATATGGCCTTTTCTTTCCCTTTAATTGTGGTGGTTGCTCTGCCAGTCTTCAGGTCAATTTCTGGGGTATTTAGGATTATTTAATAGTTATCTATTTGTGTTCGTGGAATAAGGCAAGCCTAGCGTCTTCCTACTCTACCACCATCTTCCTTTACTCCTTTTTAAAAAAGATTTTCAAGGGTGCCTGGGTGGCTCAGTTGGTTAAGCATCTGCCTTTGGCTTACATCATGATCCTGGGATCCTGGGATTGAGCCTTGTGTTGGGCTCCCTACTCAGCGGGGAGTCTGCTGCTCCCTGTCCCGCTGCCCCTCCCCACTGTTCATGCTCTCTCTCTCTCAAATAAATAAATAAAATCTTTAAATAAAAGAAAAAAATATATAAACATTTTCAGAGTCTCTAGGTATCAAAAAAAAAAAGACCTTGGGAATTTTATGTTAATGTTAAAATGTATGCTAACCACTCAAACTTGTTTTCTCTGCTTTCTGATGACCATTCATATTCTGGGGCTATATTAAGGATTTGAGATAGAGATGCTGGTATCAGAAAAATATTTTACTCTCTCATCATCTCATCCTGACCAAGGTTGCTAGAACCGACATCAGCCACCTCAGAATGGAATTTGCAAAAGTAGACAACTCATTACTCTCATTCAGCACATGAGGCTTGATATGCTTGATTTCTTTTTCCTCTCTTTTTACCCTGTATCTCTACGAACTTTGTCATTCCTTCTCACTCTACCACTTTTGTAGAGGGTCCCCAAGACTACCCGCGTGTTTGATGGTTAAGTAGGACGACTTAGAAGACTCAACCTATAGTCATAGGCCTTATTACTGTGAAAGATTGCAAAGTAAAATAAGAAAAGGGAAAAGGCAAATGGGGCAAAGCTTGTAAGAAACCAGGTACAAGCTTCTAAGGATCTTCTTCCAGTGGAGTCATATAAGATGTACTTAATTCCTCCACTAATGAATTATGATAATACATGTAAGATGCTGTCAGCCAAGGAAGCTCATTAGACACTGAGCAGTCAAGGTTATTACTAGCAGCTGATCACATAAACACACTCTCTCTAGCATGTCCAGAATTCCAGACTAGAAGGAAAGTAGTTGCTCAGCATAAACCATATTATTTCAACAGTTTAAGCACAATGCTTCACTCTTATCATTCAGAGAATGTTTTCTATCATTGTATGGGACTGTTTACCAGAGAAGTCCCCAGATGCCAACCAAGAGCAGACCTTGCAAGCAGAACTTTCTAATAATGGCAGTCTTGAGTTACTACGTGAACTCTTTTCTGCACACTATTAAATAACTGTCTTTCATAAATACATGGCGAATTTTGTATTTTCCCATCTTCTACCTCTGAGTATGGAAATTCTTCTCAGTAGGCATTACTGCCTCTCTTCCTCACTGAAGTCCTTACTAAACTGGTACAGTTCTTTGGTTAGTAGCCATTTTGGTTATCTTCCATTCATCTTCTATCCACAACTCAGTTGCCAGTCATTGTTCCCAAACTAAATTACATGTGTTTCAAAGTCACAGCTCTTACTGGAATAAAATATCAGATACCTTATGGTTGGTTTGCCCAGCTTTAGTCCTTAAAGTAGTCTCACCTCAAGTATACCCAATCAGATACAAAACCTTTGTGAATTATAAGAACATTCCAACATTCTAACTCTAGCCCATATATCTCATCCCAGTAGATCTAACACTCTCCCTATAGCTAATATTAGTGGGTACTGATATCCCATTTTTAATTCTAATACTGTGAGCAACTTTCACTTGGATACATATTATAATATAAATTACTTATTAGGAAAAAAATTGAAAACCAAGATCACTCTATGTAGCATATAAGACTCAAAGAAGAACATACTAATCAATTTTCAGTAAGAAGCTCATAATCCACTTGCAAAAGAATATGTTTCTTAGGTCATTCACATTGTTTCTAAATGTCAGAGCTAGAATAATCTAACCCATTGTTTTTCAAATAGAGATCTCAACCTATTATTAGGTAATGAAATAAGCATAGTGAATAAATAAGCATGAATCTCAGGAGACATTTTATTAGAAAAATAAAATAGAGGAGAACAACAAATATCAGAGTGTTTTATACTTGTATGGGTAAATAGTGTGAAAGTTTTCTTTCCATGGAGTGTGTGTGTGTCTGTGTAAGATAGGTCATAGGTCATATTGTAGAATTTATTCTGAGTCATGGTCAAAAAATGTTTGAAAGCTGTTGATTTAGTCTAACCCCATTAGCTACATATAGAGGTCCAGAGAAGGGAAATCACTCAATGATTTCATAGTACATAACTTGTTAGTGGCTGTGTCTAGAGTCCTTTCCTACTTATGGGAGTAGGGCTATTGAATCCAAATGAAATTTATATTTTGTTAGACTGCCCTTCATAGCAAGTAAAGAGAAGATGAATGTAAGTCTTTTTTTTTTTTTTTTAACATTTAGAATGACACATCAAGGAAAAAGAAAATGCTACTTTCCAAGGTTAGAAGCAGCACAATTAGGGGAATTTGGCTGAGTCAAGGAAACTTGCATTAAGAGATGTTAGGTCAGTAAAATCAAGAATCAAACTATAGATACTAGAATAATAGTGAGCAGGACCAGAGTAAAGGAGCAACTTAAGACATGTTTTTTTTTTTTTCTAACTTATGTTTTAACAGATATAGACCCTCTTTCACAGAACCACGCAAACTAGTCTAAAACCAAAGGAAAGCTAAATTAGAGGTTGAAGCAGCCTACCTACCCACCTCTACCAAGCTCAGTCTCGTAGACTGTAGGCCTCCTTACAAATAGGTAAACCAGACACAGAAATAGCTCTTGTTTCTATCTTTTTATCTTTCATTAACATTGCCTGCAAACATCCCCAGTTATTTTTCACCTTAGTCTTTACTGATATATCAAATAGGCTGTTCCATTTTTAAAGTAAGGGTTGTAAGGTTGTAAGGGTTTCAGAGAATAAAAGTACTTACCCCAACTAGAAATCCCATCATCTAAATGCCCAGCTCATATTTACAGAGTCCAAGGTACCCATTCAAGCATTTAAGATACATATTGTTTTGAACCAGTGGTCTGTTGGAACTAAGCTAGGCTATATGAAGTTACTAGTGACATTGTATTTGGAAGATTTTTTTTTTAAGGATTTTGCTGTAAAAAAAAAAAAAAAAGTTTGGGGGCGCCTGGTTAGCTCAGTCAGTTAAGTGTCTGACTCTTTACTTTGGGTCAGGTCATGGTCTCAGGGTTGTAGGATTGAGCCCTGTATGGGTGGAGGTGGGGAGAGGGAGGTGGAGTCTGCTTCTCTCCTTTTCCTTCTGTCCCTCCCCTTGCTTGTACTCTCTCTCTTTTTCTCTCTCTAAAATAAATAAATCTTTAAAAAGTTTGAAAATGTCTCTTAGTTTAGGCACTTTTGGAAATGAATACATTATCTCAAGTTACCTGCAGTTATTAAATTATTACTTCTGTATTTTAAATCAGTGACATGAAGGAGTTATATACCTTTTAAAGTCCTTAACTGATTAGTTAGTTGGATCTTTCATGTTCCTAAGGACTTAATCAAAACAGGATATGTAAAGAGAGTCCATATCGCTTTAACATGGTGTCACAAGTATAGTAGTTCATCAATTCTTTATATTACCATGCCCTATTAGATACTTGAAAAAAAAATGTGCTTACAACTTTGAGTTTCTTAGGACATGAAAAAAAATACCTAGTTTCAAAAAAGAAAATCATCAACTCCCTTTGTGTAGCTAATTATCAGTTTTAAATTGAGAATACTTTTCTAAAATTGGACATGACAACTAAGAGGTATTAGTTGAATTGTGATCCTTAAGGATTTTTTAGCTACCATTTTGATTAGTATTATTACCTAAAGAATAAATTGATGTAGGTTAATGACTTGAAAGGGAATAAAGAGGACATTAAAGTTATAAAAAACATTGTCTCTGCTAGCATCTGTTTGGAGTTTAATAGTTTGTTTGAATTTCATAGGTTCTAGGCTTAAGAAAATTGCTTATCCACTGGGACTGGCCACTTTAGGAGCAACTGTTTGCTACCCAGTTCAGTCAGTAATAATTGCAAAGGTAAGTTCCTTTTAAGTGATAGCTACATTTCAGTATTTGTTTAATCTCTTAGTGTGACAATATTTAAATGTCCTAAGTATCTGCAACATTTAATTTCCAGAGAAATAAAGTGAGCATCAACTCTTACTTTGGCAAAATTGCATTACATTTCAGCATGGTAAATTCCATTCTTAATTACATAATCATCACAAATAGGATAAATTTTTTGAAATATAATTCAAAAATATAAATGCTGCTTTGAGGATTGGGTTCAGAGACACAGAATTAGAATTTATGGGGAGAAATACCACTCCATTGCTGAGCTATGTGAAAGTCAATTTTTAATTAACAGAAAATTATACCTGCTGGATGCTGTCAGTTCATCAGATTAGTATAAGAATCAGCAAATTGGTAGATAACAGAGGCTTCTGAAGGTAAAAAAAAAAAATCATATATACAAATTCAATTTTGATACCACCTAGAACTAAGTAACATTTTCCATGAGTCCATATTATAGCTGTTTTGTCATTTTCTTTTTTTTTTTTTATAGCTGTTTTGTCATTTTCTTATGAGCTTACCTACAAATCCAAACATTCTCCTAATGATTTGAAAAGTTTGTGCCAGTATTTTACTTTTAATACATATTCAGATTGAGAAGGAGAGCTTTGGGTACTGCAGTATTTTCTTCCTTTCCTTCTTTTCTTAATTACCAACACTTAACATTTCCCCCTCACACTTGAAGCACTGTGTAGTGTTACCGGAAGAATTTTCTGTACTTGTATTCTCATTACTACATCTCCCTAATTATTGATGTAGATAAAGCTGCCTACTCAGTATTTTAAGAATGACAAGGATATAGTGCCCTATGTAGTTTGTAATGTGATGAAGCTATAAAAGTTTATAGCAAAGAGAGCATTATTCATTAAATCTAGTTATAGTTGAGACACTTGGTCCAAAATGATCAACTTATTTTTTATAAATCTTTCCTAAGAATTTATATAGGAATTAGCCCCTTCAATTCATATCATATTCATGCTGAAAGAAACTTCTGAGTTTATTACATTCAACTTCCTCATTTTCTCATTTACTGATAAGAAAACTGTGGCCCAGAGAAGTTTCACAGTGACTGATTTTGTCCAGGGTTGTCTTCTGCTTCCCTGTCCATTTCTCTTCTCAATATCTAATGCTGCCACTGAATCTTTTTGTTTGTTTAGAGTTAAATAAAATTTGTAACTATTCATCCTTAAATAATTTAAGCATTATAGAAAAGTATAGGGAAAAAAAACAGTTAACCATCTGGAATTCTTTCATCCAGAAAAATATCAGTGTTAACATTTGGTAGAATGTTGTCTAGACATTTCTTTATGCATATATAGAGGTAGAAAGATAGATGGGTGAATAGGCAGATACAGTTTCATAATAACAGGATAATATTATAGTATACATCTTATTTTTAATTTTAAGAATAAAGTATTAAACTTAATTTTACTCTAACAGAAGGAAAATAAAAACAGAAGAATTCCTGAACTTCAAATAAAAATTTCTATGATAAAAGAGTTATAAATGTGCTTTCCTGAAAGTTTTTCTATGGTTAAATGCTATTACTGAAATTCCTAGAGTTGAGACCCTTGCTTTTCCTTTGACTGGCATATAACAATGCCATGTGTAATATCTGCTGAATTCTAATATATATATATATAACATAGATTCTTAACCTGAGATCCATGATAGACTTAGGAGTGACTCCACCACCCGAAACTATGAAAAATTTTATATATACAATAGATACCTTCTAATTTGGTATTGTTGGGACCAGTAGTTAATAATTAATTAAAAATGTTAAAGTGGAAAGTTTTTAAAAGTCACAAATATGGACCTTAAATATTTTATTTCAAATTATAAATGTGTGTCCATTTTTCTCTCTTTTGAAGTAGGTATTTTCTATGAGTATGGGTCTCCTAGTTGAAGATCATAGCATCTTTCTTATAGTTAGCCATATCTGTAGTATGTCTTCTACTGTTTTCAGTTTAGATTTCCTTTAAATAGAATGAACACTTAAAAACATTTTTAAAATAATATGAGTGCAGAATCCTCTTAAATTGTTATTATTTCTCCCAGCCTTTAACAGTTGACTTGCCCACCTCTAATTTAACAGTAGTTTGGTAAATCATTTTTTAGTCTTTACAAAGCATTTAACTTAATTTTCCTGTAGACAACAATTCTCTTCACACTCATATTTCATCCTATTATGTTACATTTATTTTTTTTAATTATAGTAAAACTGATATAGAGACTTAGAAATAAATACAACTGATTCTTGGTAAGTGCACAAATCACTTCTGAAAGACAGTACTTAGATATATTTGAGAGAACCTGCTATCGATGAATATTCAGCATTCTATGAACATCATTTAGTATACATTTTTAAGACACCTTTACTTAATCAGACAAGTCTCTTAAAAGGATATCAAATGAGAGCTCTTCTGCTATATGGGTAGTTTCTTAAGGAAAGGGCCCGTACCTTTCAGGAGATTCTCCAAGAGGTCTATGACATAAAAAAAAAATCACAAAATGGTAGTCTAGAAGGCTCTTTGAAAAATAAGTCACACTCCAGTTATTCACCATTTCAGAAATATACTTCAAGATGGGATTACTTTTTGCTTTTTATGGTTTTCTTCACACTGTTTTCATTATTAACTTTAATAAAGAGTATCAAGTAATCTGTCTTTGAAACCTATAAAATACCTAGGAATAAACTTAACAAATAATCTTCTAAGATCTATTTATTAAAAACTATTAAACTATAGTAGGAAGGGAAAAATTAAGGGGGGGAATTGGAGGGGGAGACAAACCATGAGAGACTATGGACTCTGAGAAACAAACTGAGGGTTCTAGAGGGGGGGGATGGGTTAGCCTGGTGATGGGTATTAAAGAGGGCACGTATTGAATGGAGCACTGGGTATTATACGCAAACAATGAATCATGGAACACTACATCAAAAACTAATGATGTAATGTATGGTGATTAACATAACATAACAAAATAAAATTTATAAAAGAAAAAAAATATTAAACTTTAGTGAAAGGCATTTTTAAAAATTTTGAATACATTTAGAGATATATCTTGTTTCTAGATGAAAGGACTGAATATTGGAATATAGCATATGTTCCCAAATTTAGAAGTTTAATTTAGTTCTTACAGAATTCCTCGATTTGTAGGGAGTATGACATTCATTCAACCAGTATTTGTTGTCCATTTACCATGTATTGGTAACTATGCTAGCATAGACAATAAAATAGACCAAAAAAAAAAAAAAAGAGAATATCCAAGAACAAATATATCAAGTATGTCTTTGTATATATTGTGGGGTAAGGGGAGGGTATAGTAAAGGTGGCATTTCAGATCAGCGTGTAAAGAAAGAATGGATTGGGGTGCCTGGGTGGCTCAGATGGTTAAGCGTCTGCCTTCGGCTCAGGTCATGATCCCAGGGTCCTGGGATCGAGCCCCACATCGGGCTCCCTGCTCAGCGGGGAGCCTGCTTCTCCCTCTTCCTCTCCCTCTCCACTCCCCCTGCTCATGCTCTCTCTCTCTGTATCTCTGTGTCTCAAATGAATAAATTTAAAAAAAATCTTAAAAAAAAAAAAGAAAGAAAGAATGGATTGGTTATTCCAGACATGTGTTGGAATAATTGGCTTTTTGGAAAAAAATCTTAGACCTTGCAAAAATAAATTTCAGGTGGACTAAAGATCTAATCATAAAATATAATACTATAAAAATATTAGAAGAAAGAAGATAAATACCTCTGTAATGTTGAGATAGGAAAGGCACTCTTAAGCAAAACACAATCCAGAAACCATCAAAAAAATTAATGTATTTTACTACATCAAAATAAATACATTTCTTCTGATCACAATATAACATTTACAAAGTTAATGGGTAAATTAAAACTGGGAAAACTATTTGCAACATCTATAACAAAGGACTAAATAATGGCCTTCCTATAAATGGATAGAAAAAAGATAAAGGCTCTCTAAGAAAATGAAGAAAGTAAACAAACAAGCAATCCACAAAATAAGAAACATAAATGGCCCAATATGAAGGATGCTTAACTTTATCAGCAATCAAATAAATGCAAATTTAAAGATCATTTAGATATTGGCTTTTAGTCTTTCAATTTGATAAAGATTTAAAAGACTCATAGTAATACTGCTTCTGGTAAATGGGGTATGAAAACACCTTTTTGGTGGGAGTATATATTACTACAGTGTATTGCTGACTTTATGGAGGCAATGTGGCAATATTATCAAAAATTAAAATGTATATAATCTTTAATCCAGGTATTTCACATCCAGGAATTTGTACCAAGGAGACACCACAAAGATGTGTGGTCCCAGTTGTATGTGTAAGAATGCTAATCACAGCATGCTTATAATTGCCCAAAAAAGGGAAACATCCCATATTCCCCAAGATAGGGGATTTATTAAACTAACTGTGGCATATCCATTGTAGAATACTAACTAGGCAGCTATTATAAAAGAAGCAGATCTACAGGTGTATAAACTGATATGGAAACATCTCTGACAAATTATTAAGCTTTTAAACTATCAAATCTCAATATGTATAGTGTGATCCTATTTGTGTTTTTAAAAAGGGAACAAGCTAAGTGTATATGTGTGTAGTTTATTTTAAAATTTATTTTAAAACATAATTGAGATTGTAGTGTGGAATCTGTTCTCTAATCTCGTCTTTTCAATTCAGTGGTTCATGGAAATCCGTATCAGTGCATATAAATCTAAAATCTACCTCATCCTTTTTGGTAGAGGTATATTAGTATCAACATTCCATTTGTTTTAAAATGTGTATATGCATTTGTTTTAAAATGTGTGTATGTATCTAATGCACATATAAGGAAAATCTCAGGAAGAATAGCCACACAACTGTGACCAAAGTTACATTGTGGGGAGGAAGAAGACTTCCTTTATATTAGTGGTTTGATTTATTTTTCTTAAGTGTAAGTATATACTTAGCAAAAAAATTCTATTTTAAGCAAGAAAGTCACAGTTTTTTAAAGTTCTTTAAGTTCATGTTTATAAAAAGTATAACCCTGGAAAGCTTCTAAAACCTCTTTAAAACTTGAAAAGTCAATAGCTATTGAAATTACTTTAGCCTTAAGGAACAAAAAGATGGGGAAAGAACAGAAAGAAGGAATAAGGAGATTTTTAAAGGGAAAGAGATATGAATGAAAGTAAGAGCAGCTTCAGGAATTCACTCACCATCCTTGCCTCTGCTTTGGTGTGTTTGTAGTTCATTTGTATTTTATGTTTCTACCAAAAGAGAGTATTATTCTCTGGAGAAATACATTAATACTTTATGACAGGAGAAAGCACCAGAAAATTTGAACAAAAGTATTAACTTCATAGCATCTTAAAATCTTATTTTCTGTTTATTATCTCAAGCTGTCTTTCCCAAACTTCTGTTAAATAAAAATAGTTTTAAATTCACATATTACAGTGTGAATGCAAACTATACATTTTTAAGAATTTATTTTTCTAAGAGCAGTTTTAGGTTCACAACAAAATTAAGCAGAAGGTACAGAGATTTCCCATACACCCCCTGTTCCCACACATGCTCAGCATCCTCCATTATCAACATCCCTTTTCTACATCCCCCATTAGAGTGGTACATTTGTTACAATTGATAAGCCTACATTGACACATTATCACCCAAAGTCATAGTTTACTTTAGGATTAACTCTTGGTGTTATACTAACTATACATTTTTTTAGCCTTTTACATGAGGCAAATAATTTTTCATATAAGATTTAGAAAATGGGGTTTTCTGTTATATGATCTAGAGATTTATATCTTTACTATTGATTCTGACCTGAGTGTTCACATAAAATACCTGACATAATTTTTTTTAATACTTGTTATTTTGACTTTTAAAAATATATCTTATTTGACTCACTTCTTGTTTTAATTAGGTAACTGGGAAAAAGGCATATACTACAAGCCAGCAAATTTATGAAGCAGTTAAATCATTGTGGACAAAAATCAACAAAAAAGAGTCATTTCCTAAACCTAAAGAAAAATCTAAGGTAGAGTTTAAAGGGACCAAAAAGGGAACATTTAGTTTTGTTGGTTGGGGTGGGGGATTGGCTTATAATGGGAGCCCTGAACAGAGGTCAAGGATAGAATGAAAGGAGATGAAGGAACATAATATCTTTGCATACTATACGTTTTTAAGATGTTTTATTGTTTTAGCAAAATGATTTACTTATGAAAGAAAAATCTTTTTGGTAAACAGCTAGGAAATTCTGCTGAAATAGAAATACCTGCAAAAACAACTGACAGCCTGAAATACTCAGTGCCCTTGACAACAGAACTCAGCTCTGAAACAAAGACAAAATCAGAATCCACCTCAGGTTTGTTTGAAATAATTCAATTTTGTTTTCATTCTTTCCTTAAATAATGTTATCGTATTATTAGGAGTAGTTTGAACTTACGTGCTTTTTCATAAATGTTTTTTCTTTCTCATATCTGTAGTCTATATATCTTTATAGATTGTGAGATACTTGGGTACTTGGGACTTTTTCTAATTGTCACATTGTTCATAATACCCATCTTTGCATATGGTTGTGTGGAGTAACACTGGCGGGTTGGGTGAGTGAAGCATTTAGTATCACTTTGTAAATGTGAGCTTTGTAATTAGGTGGAGAAAAATGTGCCTTTCCAGATTTTATCAATTTACAAGCTATAAGTATGAGTCGTATCTACATAGAAGAAATACTGACTTTCCATTTCTTGTGCTATTTACCCCTATCAGTCTTAGTTTCCACCATCACTTTATTTAGTTTAGATACTAGGAGAACATTCAGAATGAAATAGTAAAATAACACCAATCATAATACTAATAACTTTTTTAATATTAGATACTGGCAATTGATACTTTGTGAGACCAAACAGTGACAATTATACTTTCTAGGCAAATACTACAATGGTTTTACTGTAATCATTGAGAAGGTAACAGAGTGTTTAATACCATTTTAGGAGTGTATTCACATAAACTCACCAGTCCCTGGGTTATACAGGATTGTCTATCTGTACAATGTGAATGGTACTACCCATTGTTTTATTGCAAAGGAAATAGGGCCAACTCAGAGATAAGGAAGTAGAAAATAATGATAATATCTGCCCTTTACATTGTGCTTACTGTGATATAAAGAGCTATAAATATCATATGTTATTTAATTCTCACCCAAAAGGCAAAACAAAACAAAAAACTCTTGTGCATATGTAATTATAATCATTGCATAATGAACAGACTGAAACGCAGGAAGCTTAAGTAACTTGCCCAAAATCATATAGCTTATGAGTAGTAGATGTATTCATAGCCTAGATTTTCCTAATACAAGTCCAAGCTCTTTCTACTGTATATAGATTATCTAATTTAAAATCAGAGTTTAGTCTCTAATTTCAGCTACCTCCTCTATCTTAATTTTTATAAAACCTGTCACTGAGTAACAAACCTGATAGGAGTTTTACAGTGTTCTCCTATCACCTCTCATTTCTAATCTGTTGGTTTACAGTATTTATTTTTTTATTAGTTACTTTCAATTCTGGTATAGTTAGCATACAGTGTTATATTAGTTTCAGGTGTACAACACAGTGATTCAACACTGCCACGCAACACCCTTTGCTCATCACAACAAGTGTACTCCTTAATCCCCTTCAGCTATTTCACCCATCCCCCACCAACCTCCCCTCTGGTAACCAATTTGTTCTCAATAGTTAAGAGTCTGTTTCCTGGCTTGTCCCTCTTCCTCTATTTTCTTTTTTCTCTTGCATGCATGCAGATATAGATAGGTAGGTAGGTAGATAGATAGATGGATAGATAGGTAGAGATATAGAGATAGATATATATATAAAGGAGATGTGGTATGTGTGTGTGTGTGCATATATATATCGATAGACTTTTGGGCTCTTTCCATGTTTTGACTGCTGTTGATAATGCTGTTATAAACATTGGGGTGCATGTACCCCTTCAAATCTATATTTTTGTATCCTTTGGGTAAATACCTAGTAGTGCAATTGCTGGGTTGTGGGGTTGTTCTATTTTTAATTTGGTGAGGAACCTCCATACTGTTTTCCAGAGTGACTGCACCAGTTTGGATTTCCCACCAGCAGTGCAGGAGGGTTTCTTTTACTCCATCCTTGCCGACTCCTGATGTTTCTTGTGTTGTTGATTTTAGCCATTTTGGCAGGTGTGAAGTGGTATCTCATTGTGGTTTTGATTTGTATTTCCCTAATGATGAATGATGTTGAGTATCTTTTCATGTGCCTGTTAGCCATCTGTATGTCTTCTTTGGAAACATGTCTGTTCATGTCTTCTGCCCATTTCTTAACTGTGTTGTTTTTTTGGGTGTTGAGTTTGGTAAGTTCTTTATAGATTTTGGATACTAACCTTTTATCAGATATGTCATTTGCAGTTATCTTCTCTGATTCCAGAGGCTGCATTTTAGTTTTCTGGATTGTTTCCTTTGCTGTGCAGAAGCTTTTTATCTTGATGAAGTCCCAGTAGTTAATTTTTGTTTTTTTTCCCCTTGCCTCTGGAGACATGTAGACATGTCTAGTAACAAGTTGCTACAGCCAGGTCAGGGAGGTTTCTGCTGTGATGTCCTCTAGGATTTTGATGGTTTCCTGTCTCGCATTAAGGATTGTTCGTCCATTTTGAGTTTATTTTTGTGTATGGTGTAATAAACTGGTCCAGTCATTCTTCTGCATGTGGTTGTCCAGTTTTCTCAACATCATTTGTTGAAGAGACTGTCTTTTTTTCTTTCTTTTTTTTTTTTTTTTGGAATGGGAGTGCTAGCAAGGAGGGAGGGGCAGAGGGAGAGAGAGAATCTTAAGCAGGGCCTACACTTGGAGCCTGACATGGGGGCTTGATATCATGACCCTGAGATCATGACCTGAGCCAAACTCAAGAGTTGGACACCCAACCAGCTGAGCCACCCAAGCACCCCAAGACTTTTTTTCCATTGGATATTCTTGCTTTGTCAAGATTAATTGACCATATAGTTGTGGGTCCATTTCTTAGTTTTCTGTTCTGTTCCATTGATCTATGTATCTGTTTTTGTGTCAGTACCATACTGTCTTGATGACTACAGCTTTGTAATATAGCTTGAAAGCTGTACTATAGCTTGAAGTCTGGAATCGTGAGGCCTCCAGCTTTGCTGTTCTTTTTCAGGATTGCTTTGGCTATTTGGAGTGTATTGTGTTTCCATACAAATTTTAGGATTGTTTGTTCTAGCTCTGTGAAAAATGCTGGTGGTATTTTGATAGGAATTGCCTTAAATGTGTTGATTGCTTTCTAGTATAAACATTTTAAAAATGTTTGTTCTTCCAATCCTTGAGCATGGAATGTTTTTTGACTTCTTTGTGTCCTTTTCAGTTTCTTTCGTAAGTGTTCTATAGTTTTCAGGATACAAATTTTTTACCTCTTTGGTTAGATTTATTCCTAGGTATCTTATGGTTTTTGGTGCAATTATAAATGGGATTGGTTCCTTGATTTCTCTTTCTGCTGCTTCATAATTGGAGTATAGAAATGCAACAGATTTCTGTATGCTGATTTTATTTAACCTATGGCATTGCTGAATTGATATATTTAGTTCTAACAATTTTTTGGTGGAGTCTTTTGGGTTTTCTACATAGAGTGTCATGTCATCTGCAAATAGTAAAAGTTTGACTTCTTCCTTGCCAATTTGGATGCTTTTTATTTCTTTTTGTTGTCTGATTGCTGAGGCTAAGACTTCTAGTACTCTGTTAAACAACAGTGGGGAGAGTGGACATCCCTGTCTTGTTCCTGACTGTAGAGGAAAAGCTCTCAGAATTTCCCTATTGAGGATGATATTGGCTGTGGGTCTTCTGTATATTACTTCTATGATGCTGAGGTATGTTGTCCCTATCCCTACATGGTAGAGGGTTTTTATCAAAAATTGATGCTGCATTTTGTGAAATGCTTTTTCTGCATCTATTGAGAGAATCATATGGCTCTTATCCTTTCTTTTATTAAGGTGGTGTATCACGTTGATCATTTTGCTAATATGGAACACCCCTGCAGCCCAGGAATAAATCCCACTTGATTGTGGTGAATAATTCTTTTAATATACTGTTGGATGTGATTTGCTAGTATCTTGTTGAGAATTTTTGCATCCATGTTCATCAGGGATATTGCCTGTAATTCTCCTTTTTGGTGGGGTCTTTGTCTGGTTTTGGAATCAAGGTAATGCTGGCCTTGTAGAATAAGTTTGGAAGCTTTCCTTCCATTTCTACTTTTTGGAACAGTTTGAGAAGAATAGGTATGAACTCTACTTTAAATGTCTGGTATAAATTTATTGGGAAGCCATCTGGCTCTGCATTATGTTTGCTGGGAAATTTTTGATTACTGATTCAATTTGTTTGCTGGTTATGGGTCTGTTCAAATTTTCTAATTGTTCCTGTTTCAGTTTGGGAATTTTGTATGTTTTTAGTTATTTGTTCATTTCTTCCATATTACCCAGTTTGTTGGCATATAATTTTTCATAATCCTCTCTTAAAATTGTTTGTGTTTCTTTGTGTTGGTTGTGATCTCTCCTCTCTCATTCATGGTTTTATTTATTTGGGTCTTTTCTTTTTTCTTTTTGATAAGTCTGGCTAGGGTTTATCAATTTTATTACTTCTTTCAAAGTACCAGCTCTTAGTTTGGTTGATCTGTTCTACTGAATGGTTTATTTCTGCTCTAATCTATATTATTTCCCTTCTTCTGCTGGCTTTATGATTTATTTGCTGTTCTTTTTCTAGCCCCTTTATGTATAAGATTAGTTTGTGCATTTGAGACTTTAGTCCTTCTTGAGGTAGGCCTGTATTGCTCTATACTTCCCTCTTAGGACCACCTTTACTGTATCTGAAATGTTTTGGACTGTCGTGTTTTCATTTCCTCATTTCCATGTATTTTTTTTTAATTTCTTCTTTAATTTCCTGGTTAAGTCATTCTTTCTTTAATAGGACGTTCTTTAACCTCCATGTATTTGTTGTCTTTCCAAATTTTGTCTTTTGGTTGACTTCAAGTTTCATTGCGTTGTGTTCTGAAACTATGCATGGTATGATCTCAATCTTTTTGTACTTGTTGAAGCCTGATTTTTGATCCAGTATGCGATCTGTTCTGGAGAATGTTCCATGTACACTCGAAAAGAATTTGTTTATTCTGCTGCTTTAGGATGAAATGTTCTGAATATATCTGTTTAGTCCATCTTGTCCAGTGTGTCACTCAAAGCCATTGTTTCTTTATTTTCTGCTTAATCTGTCCATTGCCATAAGTGGGGTGTTAATATCCCCAGCTGTTACTATATTCTTATCACTGAGTTTCAGTGTGTTTGTTATTAATTGA